TGAGGGGAGCAGCGGGCGGCAGGAGAGATCTGCGCACCGTGTGGGGGACCCTCCCCCGGCGGGGAGCAGCCAGGGATGGAACCGGCGCTGCAGAGGCTGCGGGCAGCTTAGCAACCCAGGGCTCAACTGCTGCGCCACCAGGGAGGCCCGGTGTATGCATTTTTAATAAACATCGCCGATTGCCTTTCACAAACTGGTGCAGTCAGCATTCCTGCTGTGTGCCAGGGTATTTCCCCACATGCTCACAACATCAGATATTACTGATTTTTTAATTTTGCCAATCTGATGGCAAAAAGATCATTGCTGATCTTTCTATATGTTTATTGACCTTCTTCATTGCAAGTCTGTCCTTTCCTTACACATCATGTATTCTTTTTCCTCTATTTCAAAAGAAGAAATTTCTTGTGCCTAAGAATTTCTTTCCTCTTGCTTCCCTTGTTTCTCAATTATCTACTTCCTTAAGCATCTTCGATTTTCCTGTCTTCACAGATATAAGACAGGAAACATAGTCAGATTGTAATTATCTGGGGATAAAAGACTTTATCAAAACACTTTACCCTTTAATTCCTCCCTATTCTCTTTCCCCCATATTTGTCCAAATACTGCTGTGTTGGCTTCTCTCACCAACCCTAAGCTATGCTGGTGGCTTTACCCTGTCCTGGTTTTACTGGCCTTTTTATGTCCTTTCAAATACTGCCGCCATTCCTTTTAGTCAATGGCTTCACTAACTCCAAGGCGACATCCTCTTGCTCTTCTTACCTCTGGAATTACTTCTTAAACTCATTTTTCTCTTCCCTTGCCAAAAATGTGGATCAGTGATTCCTGTTTTGGAACCTTTGTTCTTTTCCTTTGCTTGTTACTTTGAAGATCTCATCCATCCCCAACATCGCAACTATTAGCTCGATGCAAATGACTCCCAAATCAGTGCTAGTCCTGGTGCCTTCTTAAAATTTCAGTCTTTAGTTTGTACTTTTTTCCCCCACTGAATTGGACCATTACAACATTAAGATCAGAACTCTAAATTGCACTTGGCTCCCTCTCTCCCTAACCAATCCTTGTCATGTTACCGATTTTTTGTGGGTAACAAGTGGGAGAAAATCTTGCTTAGTAGAAGAATTCTCCCTAGACAGAAGCTTATTTCTTCTGCTACATACTTAGATGAGACACTTTCACTGAAGGGGGGCTGGTGAGAGGTAACATCAGAAAGGATTCAACTTATATAAAAGGATGGCATCTGAATTGCTTCTGAAGTGGGTCTGACCCACTACTACATTTTAGTTTTGCTGGGTATATTCTTCAAGAGCTGATTTGTCACTGAAGTTTTCTCCCATGTTTTCTTCTGGAAGATTTATGGTTTTGGTATATCCAAATAGACCTATGAACCATTTTGAGTGACTTTTTATAGGAAGTCCAAGGTAAAATTTGATATTTATATATCTTTATTAATTGCTCTAGAACCACTTAATGCAAAACTATTATTTGTTCACTGAACTAGTGTTGCAGCTTTGGTGAAGTATAGTTATCTAAATATACATGGATCTATTTTTGAATTCTCTTTTCTATTCCAGCTTATTGGCATGAAATTGTTCATCATATTCCTTTAACATTCTTTTAAGATTTATTTTTATTTATACAAGAGCTGGGGTACAGGCCAGAGTCGTGGGAGGGTGAGAGGATTCACCAGAGACAGAGTGGGGAGCAGAACAGGCAGACAGACTGAAAGCACCGCTGAGAGGAGCAGTGGGCAAGACAGGAGAGGTCTACCGCGCCATGTGGGATTCTCCCTGGCTGGCCGGGAATCGAACCGGCGCTGCAGAGGCTGCTGACAGCTTCACAGCACTACACCCAACCCGCTGCGCCACTGGGGAGGTTCACACTCCTTTAACATTCTTTAATATTTGGAAAATTGCAGTAAAACCTTCACTTGCAATTTGTGTATTCTCTCTTATTTTCCTGATTAATCTGCCTAGAAGTTTTATTGACCTTCTCAATCTATCAGCTTTTGGTTTCATTAACTTTTATCTATTGGTTTTCTCTTTTCTCTTTTTTTTTTGTATTTTGGCCATGATATTTTTTACTTCCTTCAGTTTATTTTAGTTTCAATTTGTGTGTTTTTTTCCCAGTTTCTTGAGATAAAATCAGGGATCACTGATTTGTGACTTGTCTAGTTGCAAGTTCAGATCTCCCAAGACCAACCTCTTGTTCAGTGATCCACTGGAAGGACTTAAGGAATTTTAAAAGTGACTATATTCAGGGTTACAGTTAATTGCAGTGCAGTGATACCAATGGACATGAGCAGAAAGAAGACGCACAGGGCAGGATCCAGGAGAGCACAAGTGTAGGTTCCAGTTGTTCTTATTTCTTCCAGCAGTGAGTGGGATAATGTGCATGAAGTATTGACAACTAAGGAAGTTCACCTGAACCTGGTGTCCAGAGTTTTTACTGGGGATCAGACACATGTCTGGCCCCACTGTCGATTTTTGTTGGCAGAGTCCAAGGTCTCCATGTTAACAGGGTCACTATAACCGGATAAAACACTCCAAGGACTTACGGGTTACCTCCCTGGAATGTAGGGGGGAGAGAGAGCCAACACTTTCTTTAGCAAGCTCAGTATTTCACTATCTAGTAACATTGGCATTTTAGTGCTCCAAGTTTCCTTGTCACTACTGCCTTCACTACACCCCACATATTTTGATATAGCGTGCTTTCATGCTCATTTACTTCCACATAGTTTCTAATGTCTCCTTCGATTTATTTGTTGACCCGGGGTAATTCATATTGTGTATTTAGTTTCCAAATATTTGGAGATTTTCCAGATTTTTCTGTGACTGATTTTGAATTTAATTCCAGTATGGGGAAAGAACTTGTACTACTTGTACTACTGGAATCTTTTAAAATATATTGAGACTAGTTTTATGACTTAAATGTGGCCTATCCTTTGTTTAGGTGTATTTGGTTATTAAGTGAAATATTTTAATTGGGTCAAGGTCTTATAAATTTTCTATCTATTTTTTTAAAAGATTTATTTATTCATGCATACAAGAACCAGGATACAGGCCAGATGCATGGGAGGATGAAAGGATTCACCAGAGACAGAGTGGGGAGCAGAACAGGGAGATGTACTGAAATACACTGCTGAGGGGAGCAGTGGGCGAGACAGGAGAGGTCTGCCATGCCGTGTGGGATTCTCGCTGGCCAGCTGGGATCCAACCCATGCTGCAGAGGCTGCAGACAGCTTCACAGCACTGCGCTCAACCGCCTGCACCACCAGAGGAGGCCCCAATTTTCTATCTATTTATAAAGCAATTATTGAGAGAGAGAGCGAGGTATTGAAATTTCCTACCATGATTGTGGGGATGTCTATATTTCCTTGCAGTTCTATTGGTTTTCACCTCATTCATTTTGAAGGTCTGTTATTAGGTGCACCATCACGAATGCCCACTTTGCTTCTGCCTCTCTGTTAGGACACTTAGACTGTCTCTTTTCAGAAGGATTCACGTTAAACTCCACATGTCCAAACCAAACTGAATAATTGTCTTGAAAATGAACCATTTCTGGGGCCTCCCTGGTGGAGCAAGGGGTTAAGTCTCAGCACTATGAAGCTATCCGCAGCCACTGCAGCATGAGTTCAAATCTGGGCAGGGAGGTACCCACATGGTGCAGCAGACCTCTCCTCCTGACTCGCCTGCTGCTCCCCTTAGCAGTGTATTTCAGTCAATCTGTCTGTTCTGTTCTCCACTCTGTCTCTGCTAAATCCTGTCACTTCCCACACCTCTGGCCTGTGCCCCAGTTCTTGTATGCATAAATAAATACATCTTTAAAAAAAAAGAAGAAAATGAGCCATTTTTGATGACAGACCATGAAAGAAGCAGAGATAAGGGGAGATTCCCAAGGACAGGCTGGCTGTATTCCAGGCATCTTGGGGTCCGGTGACTCCTTTCAGAAGAATGAGGTTATACCAGCTGCCTGGCAGATTCTCCTCCTAAGCTGTCAGGGATTGATGGCTTGGCAATACTTCCCAAGTCTCTGCCATCCCCTCAGGCCCACCCTCCACCCCATGCCTCTGCAAAGCTTCCACTCTTCATTACAGGCACAAGCTTTGCCTGGAGCCCAAAAGCCAGCCAACACATGTGAGAATTTCAGCAATGCCCCAGGCAAAGTGCATCTAGCAACCATTTGTTGGTGTTACAGTCATTCATGGTTTAATTTTTTATTCTGATTTTAAAGTGTCAAATGAGAAAATCAAGGGGCTCATTTTCTGGGGCTTCCTATATTAGCAAGGAGTAGAGCTGCGGTGAGAACCCAGGTCTGTCTGTTTCAAGGCTGCATGATTTAGCATCCACCTCATGCTCCACCGAGAGGGAGGTCTGGCATCAGAGGCGCGTGGGACACAGAGGCCAGGGCTGGTCAGTTCAGTGGCCGGCTCTGCCTGTGCAGGTCGGGCATCCTGACTGCCAGGAATGAAGGGACTGTGATATCTGGCATGAGTGCCAGGCAGCTTCCTTCCCTCAGAACTGAGTTTCTTTGCAGTGAATCCTCTGAAGACTTAAATCTTTGAGCCTTGGTCAGCTTTTCTCTCCTTTCCAGCGACCCAGGTGACAAATGCTATGGTCAGTTTCCAGCATGGGAGAGACTAGACTCTTCATCACCCTGCCCTGATCACAGGGCCTGGGCTGGCTGCAGTCCCTCTCCATGGTCTCCAGGGGGAGCCAGAGAGCCACCCGGGGTGCCTGTGACTAGTGAGTCAGGAATCGCATTTCCATAGCAGGACTGAGCAGGGTTCAGTAAAGATAAGTAGCTCAGGGAACAGCTGGTTCCCAGGGAGGGTGGGGATGATTCATCTCTCACTTGAGAAGACCAGCCTCACTTCCTCCCCAGCTCAGGGAAGCGATAGGTCTCTTCTGCAGCAGCCTGTCCCTCTGAGGGTGGGGTCTGGCCACGTCTGGCCCAGATCTGGAGGTGCGGTCAGGCCAGGAGCGGGAGGCCTGGCTGCCTGGACCATGCTCCGCTGTCCTCTGGTCCTTCTGCTGGGCACGATCTTAGGTGGGTGCTCTCCTCTTAGATAGGTGGCGAGACTCTCCTCAAGTCCTCACCCTCGCCCAGCCCTGCCAATCCAGAGCCTCAGCTGTCTGCACGACTCTCTGGTACCTTCTGGCAATTGTCTGGGATGAATGTGGACTTTACCCTTAGTGGCGGGCTGCTGAGTGCTCCCTACCTCTTGGGAAGGAGTTTGCTCTCTTGGCCCCCCTCCCCAGGGACACCTGCATCCTGACCCTCCCGTCTGCTCCCCGTGATGATCCTCCAGGTCCGCGCCATGCAAGGCCTTGAGCCGCCCCCTGTCAGGATGGAGAGCAGGCCGGGCTGGTCTTCCTCTCTGAACAGCTCTTGACCCTCCCACAGGTGTCAGAGCCCAGACCATCCGTCAATGGCCGCCTAGCAAGGTGCAGCTGGTGGACAGGCCCATGTCCCTGGAGTGCACCGTGGAGGGGACCTCAAGCCCCTACCTGTACTGGTACCGCCAGACTGCAGGGGGGCCCCTCCAGCTGCTCTTCACCTCCATCAGGGTTAACAATGTTGAACCTGAAGCACTCGAGCACCTGACGGGCAAACGACCTGAAGATGGCAAGTTCACCCTGAGTTCTCAGAAGGTCCTCCTTAAAGACTCTGGCTTCTACCTCTGCGCCTGGAGTATCACACTGAGCCGGGCGGGACGGACAGCTGTGCAAAAACCCACCCTCCCCGCCCGCGGCCGGGTGGAGGGTGCCTGCCGCGGGGTTCTGACTGCCAGCTGGAGTGAGCCACGGCCCCGCCAGCTCCTCCCGAAGGCCTCCCTCAGTTCCCCAGACGGGCACGGGTGCCATGCGTGTGGGATGGTGACTGGCCTCCGCGTGGACAAATCCCTTGCGGGGTCTCTAAGTCCCGGCTGGCGCACCCCGGTGCCCGGCACCCAGTCTCCCAAAGGCTTGCGGGGCCACATGTCATGCCCCACATGTCATGCCTGGCCTTTGGCCCAGGGCTCGCACATGCACGCACCCTGTCTCGGGGCGTGGGGTGGAGGGTGTGCGCCCACGAGGGTGCCCCCTCAGGCTGCCTAGTGGGTTCATTATCATCACCTGAGAGTCTCCTTGGACTGGTTTTTCGGGGAGACTCGGTATCTCCGGGAGGCCCAGGCAGCCTCTGGGCAGGAAAGGGGCCAGGGGCTCCATCGTCGGCTGGGGTGGGCTGGAGGTGACGTTTTACTGGTAGCAGAAACAGGCACTTAGGAATTTTGATAATTATTTGGGGTTGTAGGTTGCTTGATTCCTTTTCGACGGTCTCTCCTCCCCTCCCTGGCGGCAAGAGAGGGAGAGAGAAGCAGACGGATGCAGAGGGAGACAAGAGGCAGGCGTGCGTCAGGGCAAACCCTAACAAGAGGGTGTACCTGGATGGGCGTGAAGGAGGGGACGAGGCTGACGGGGATGGCTGGTTAGAGATGCCACGGTTGCCTTGGCAACAGAGCTTCAGTCCTCACTCCCCCACCCCCCCAGTCCCTCATCCCTCCACCTCCAGGTTCTTATTGAAGGTTTCCTTGTCTAACGCTCCCTCTTCTCCACTTGGGGGCACAAGAAGCCTTAAGATGCTCTCCTGCCCGTCCCTTCAGCTCTTCAGGCGTGTTTATTTTCAGCCTTTTTTCACCTGCAGAGGGAAATCTGAGACCGAAAGTGATCAAGGGTCCCCACTGGACCTCCAGGACAAATATGTTGGTCTTCTGGACGCTCAGAGCTATTTTGGGACTAAAAAAGAAACACGAAATGCACTCAAGAGCCCGCTCGGGCCGACTGGCGGAAGTCCCGGGTGGGTGAATCCAATTGGGTTTTGCTTTTTGCTTTACGTGTGACATCTACGCCTGTGGAGTCGGTGTGCTAGGACCACGGAAGTTAAGAAGTACTTACAGCTCAGGTTTGGCTCACGTTTCCTAGCTAATGTTTGGCGGTGAGCTGACTGCTGGACATGAGTGGAAACAGCTCTCTCCCTGAAACAGATTATTTTTAATCAATAGACTTTTTTGCCTCAAATTTTAGTGATTTGTCAATTATTCCAATACCTACCTAATTTGGGGAGTTAGGTGCACAGGCTTCACTCACCCCCACCAGAGCTCTGTCCCCTCTGGTAACCAACATGTTTTTCCCAGACTCCAAGAATATTTTTGTTGTGCTTCGCCAGTTTGTTTTCTTTGGTTATTTATATTCTGCAATTGAGTGACACCATCTGGCGACTGTCTTTCACTTTCTGTCGTATTACACTGAGCACAACCACAGCTAGAGCCTCCGCTTTGTCCCCAAAGGCACTGTTTCATCTTTTTTAATAGCCGAGTAGTACTCCATTGGGCACAGATGCCACCATGTCTTCACCCAGCTGTCTGGCGAGGGGCAGTTAGGCTGGTTCCATGACTTGGTTTTCACATTGGCGTTTTCATGCCCTTTGAGTAAATTCCCAGCAGTAGGATCAGGATCACTGGGTCAAATGGGATTTCCTTTGTGATGGATTTTTTAAAGATTTATTTATGCATGCAGGAGCTGGGATGCAGGCAAGATGCAGGGGGGTGGTGCGTGAGAGGATTCACCAGAGACAGAGTGGGGAGCAGAAGAGGCAGATCTACTGAAATACACTGCTGAGGGGAGCAGCAGGCACAGCAGGAGAGGTCTGCTGCGCCATGTGTGGGTCACCTCCCTGGCCAGGGATTGAACCCAGGCCATAGAGGCGATAGCGCTGAGACTTAACCACTAGGTCACAAGGGAGACTTTCCATTTTGATGTTTTTGAGGACTCATATCTTTTTTCATAGAGCCTGCACCAAATTACATTCCCAATAGTTTAGTATTCAAAACAGTTTAGAGAAACATAAAACTGAGCAGTTAATAAAGTTCTCATAGTCTCTTTCCTTCCCCGATCTCCCCTGTTATCAGCGTCTTACATTGGTGTGGAACATTTGTTTCCAGGGACTGGGTAGTGAGCCAATGTGAGATGTTATTATTAACCAAAGGCCATGGTTTCCGAAGGTCTGTGATGGTTGATTTCCATGGTTTTGGCAAATACCTGATGTCTTGTATTTCCGTGACAGCATCATGCAGCCCTTTTCATGGCCCTACAAATCCCCTGTGTTTACTAATCCTGTTCATCCCTCTTCTCTTTGCTTGGAAAAGCTGGTGACCATGGATCTTATTGTCTCTATATTTTTAAGGTGCTGATTTTTTTTGCTCTAGACTTACTAGTTGTTATGACCTAAGGCTAGTTATCTCATCTTCCTCACCTCTAGAAGATTCTTTGCTAGGTTAGGGTGTTAAATGAGATGGGGTTTCTGTTATAAATCCTATCATAGGGTATAGCTCTCAACATAATTATTTTCTTCTCTTTATGTTGATATTTTAATTACAACTTGCCCAGGGAAGATTTATTTTTTAAATGAAATTTTTATCTAGTAAATACTTTAAAAAGCCAACACGGTGGAAGGTAAATAATGAAATTGTACCCTGTGTTGTCTCCATTCAGACTGACCATCAGTCTTTCTGCACCTACCAGTGCAGCTGGTAGGTGAATTAAAACAGTTTTTTCATTCCTGTAAGATATGCAGGAAAATTCTGAAAAGCTTCACGCAGAAGAGAATTTTAGCAAGGTCTGCCTCTTTAGGAGGCTGCTATGTAGATAAGCAAAGTGACATTCTCAGCACTGAGTGGAAATGAGGTCTCAGTGAATACTGAAAGTTCTAGAAACGCACCAGGGAAAGAGTGCTGGCCACTCATTGACAGGGTGGTGGCGAGGCAGGGAGGGGGTGATGGGAAGAGCGTGAAGGAGAGCCAGGAGGCATCGATAGTCAAGGTGCGTCTCCTTGGGGAGAGGCTTGAAAGTCAGCCAAAGCCACCAAAGCCGCTTTCCGCCCTCCATGTTGCCTGTTTATGAAGGGAGAGCTGTTCTCATCACTGTCCCCACGGCTTCCCACAATTCAGGGGACACAGGGCATCCTCTATTCAGGGGACAGAGGTAACCAGCTTGGGGTGGAGGTAACCTGCTCAGGTCTGCCACCACCTCCTGCCAGGAGCGCGCCAGCCCTCTGGGCCGAGGAGGCTGTCTTCCTGTTAGGAGGGCTTCCAGACTGCTCCTGCTCTGACTGGGGGGGCAACCCCTGTGTGTCATGCCTGGCCTTTGGCCCAGGGGAGATTCAGAGCCGCACGCCAGCAGCTTGGGTTTCAGCCACTTGTGGGATTTAGGGGCGAGTCTGAGACCCCCAAATTGCTCGAGGAAGACGGACTGCCCAGGCTTGGGGAGCCAGTGGCATTTAATCAGGCTACTTCATAGTCCTGCGGGGCTGGGGTCGAGGGCACCGCAGTCCTTGGAGCCGCAGCAGAGCAGGCCTGGCTCTGCACACATCTCCCACGCCCTCTTTGGGGGTGTTCTGCCTCCCTGATTTTCCACTTTCTCCTGCATATGCCTTCCCTCCTCCTACCCAGATGGGGGAGAAAGTACCCATGGCAGGCCTCCAGACCTTGGCCAGAGGGGAGGGCGCTTGCAGAACCCCAGTTAGTAAACAGACACCCGCTCAGACACCCCGGGGGGCTGTTTTTCAGTCTGTTGATTATCTAGGGCTCCCCGTCCTGTGACTCATCAGCACGCCCTCATTAGATGAGTGGAAGGAAATGGGAGGGGAAAGCAGAGGGAGGTGGGGGCAAATGGGGACAGGTGGAGGAGGGAGTCGCCTGAGTGATGTGGGGCCAGCGGGGACCCCAATTGGGTCAGAGCCGTTACTGCATGAGTTTTCACTCTGACTCCTTCTAGGGTGCCCGCGGCAGCCTCTGATCTCCGAGGAAACCTCCAGCAGGTGTTGGGTTATGTTGGAGAGGGGTGGCTGCGCCTGGAGCTGACTCCCCAAGACCCCCTTCTGGGGACCCTCTCCTCTCCCCTCTGTATTCCTGTTCCCCTGCAGGGGGCTCACTAGAGGCGCAGGTAGGCTGGGGGGCCAGTATAAGAAGGCAGGGCAGGATGTGGGGAGTGTGGTTCCAGGGTGCTCGGAAGGTGGGCGGGGAGGGGCATTCACAGGCGCCCCAGATGTGCGACCTGGTAAATGTCAAACCACATCCTGTTGTGAGGCCCGAGGTGGTGCTGGCAGGTGGAGGCTGTTGTTACTCATGCTGATGTTACTCAGAGATAAACGGCCCCAGCCCTGGGCTCACACGCCCGCCCCCCACCCCCACTGGCTCCTCCAGGACCCCAACCTGCCTGTCTCTTCTTCCGGGCCTTCTTTCCAGGCCACTCTTTCAACACCATCTCCTTCTTCTCATTCATGACCTGCATCTCTTTCCGGGAGGAGGGCCTGGAAGCAGGTGTCAGGGGCCAGGTGTGAACTGTGGGACTCCAGTCCCAGCACCACCCCCCTTAAGCCCGGGACACCCTCTGAGGCCGGGTCACAAGTGTGAGTGACTCTCGACTGGGGAGAGCTCAGACCCCCTGTTACTGCAGACCATGAACCCCTGAGCGTGAAGAGCAGAGTGTGAAGATTTCTTTAAAAAATAAAACAACAAAACACCCTCCGGCATCCATGACACCCCCTCCACCCTGACCCCACCCCTCAGGCGCTTCCCGTCTGGAGCCCTCATTTCAGTTTTCCCGAGCACTTGTCTGATTTTATTTTGTTTTGTTTGTTTATTTCCTTAGTTTCCTTATATTGCACACACAAGGAAGTCTTCCAAGATCTGTCTCTATCTTTCTGACTAACTCTGCTTTGCATGACCCCCGGGAGCGCCTTCCCTTTGCTCCAGAGGTAACACTGCATCTTCCCTGCGGCTGAGGAGTCTTCCCGTGTGCATAGATGCCATGTCTTCCCCAGCCCTCTGCAGGGGGCACGGACGCATCCCCGGAGATGACTTGCCCCAGTCTCCTCACTGCACAGAGGAGGGAGGAGAAAATGGGAAAGAGAAGGGCCAAGCAGCTGTGAGAGGAGAACCAGAGTGAATTCTCTGTGGAGCCGAGACGAGGTTTAGGGGAGCAGGGCCGTGACCTTGCTGTGAATCCGAGGACCTGCTTGTGTGAGAATAAAGGAGGCTTAATGGCAGACCCGAGTTGGCTGAGGACGGGGGTGCCAAGACAGTGGGCCCCAGAAGCTAGAGAGGCTGGAGAGATGAGCTGAAGAAATATGAGAAAACTAAACAAGCTCTCCCTGCACCCACTCACACCCCAAAAAAGAGAGAAAACCAAGACAGGAAGGGGAGTATGTGCCTCACCAGCAGAACATGTGGAAAAAGCCCCAGGTTTGAGTCAAAAGTGAGCTGTGTGAGTCAACGGGGCAGCGGGGTGCAGAGAGAAGTCATGGAGAATAAAGTCCCCGACGAGGGCCAGGACCCTGGTGCCGAGCACTGATGTCAGCCCTACGCTGTGGCACATAGAAGGATAAACACAAGCGTAAACGTTTCCAGGAGACAGTGGCTGGGCTGTGGAGGGCAGAAGGTGCTTACAACTGTGCCACTTGAGGAAAAAGTTGAGAACTCGAGCTGATTAGCTTTTAAACATCCTTCAGGGGCCTCCCTGGTGGCGAAAGGGGTTAAGTGTCAGCACTATGAAGCTGTCCGCAGCCTCTACAGCACGAGTTCCATCCCTGGCCAGGGAGATACCCACATGGCACGGCAGACCTCTCCTGTCACGCCCGCTGCTCCCCTCAGCAGGGTATTTTGTCAGTCTGCCTGTTCTGTTCCCTGCTCTATCTCTGGCGAATCCTCCCACGCCCTGCATCTCCAGCCTGTACCCCAGCTCTTGTATGCATAAATAAATCAATCTTAAAAAAAAATCCTTCAGGCTAATAATATTATTATAGCAGCTGATACTCATTGATGCTTTAGTGCCAGGCGGGGAGCATCTCGCAACGGGGACATGGCGGCTGAGCAGCTGGACGGGAAGGGAAGCTGAGTCTCGGAGGTGGGCGCTTGCCCCGGCTCTCATAGCTGGTGAGCGGCCCTGCTGTGGTTTGAACCGAGGTCTCTGGTTTTGAAGGCCATAGTCCTCATCCTCACCATCTGGTCATCTGTTCACTGCCTGCCTTTTCTAGTCTGCAAACTCAAGCTTTCAAACTCCGGTTTAGTCTGCCTCTGGTATCTTTGTGGATGCGTGGCTGAGGCAGGCATGGCTGTGTGGTGAAGGACACTCACAGGAGGATGAGGAGGCCGGGAGTGTGCACGATGAGGTGGACGGGGACTTATATAGGACAACATGCCATGTAGAGCCGCCCGTGATGGCCTGGCCTGCCCAGCCAGGCGAGAGATCTGCCCCAGGAGAGGTCAAGAGTAATGGATGAGGAGGGAGAGGTTCAAGACTTCACAAATTATGCTTCTTTATGAACGAGAATGTTTGTAAGTCCAAGATCTAGTCAAGGTTGAGTCCCAAGGTGGGAGAGAGAGCTCAGAGGCTGAGCTATAGTAGCTGGAGCGGCCTAGGCTGCTGGGATCATGCTCAGAATCACCACTGAGCTTCTATTTCAAAACCCACTTCATTCTGTCAGTGAGTCTGGTCGGGATGTGGGCTGGGGCTGGGGCCATGGAAAGTTCTGGAACACAGTCAAGACCTCCTCTCGGGCTCACAGAGGACAAGCTGAAATAAGTGAAAGAGCAGCCTGAGGAAATGTCTGTGGAAGTTGCAATTTTGGGCTCATTGTCAGGCCCTTCTCGCTGACACACTGGTCTGTTCACTCTTCCCTGGGATGCAGTCTTCCGCGGGGAGGCCTGCTAGAGGCCCAGTGCCTCTGAGGGGAAGACAATGGGTGGAGGTGGGGGCTGAGGGCACACAGGCAGCTGAGGAGGAGTGTGCGGCACAGCATCTATGCTGTGTGTAGTGGAGACGGGCCACAGCACCGTCGTAATCAGTCTTGAGGAGAGCAGAGAGGCAGGGCGGGCTCAGGAACCCGGGATTCCAGATCCACAAACAGCCCAAAATGGTCTCACTCATAGCAGGAGTTTAGAAAACCTGAATAAGGGACCAGGAAAAAGACTAATTATAATAAAGTAGAAGTCAAAATCAACAAGCAGCTATAAACCAGAGACACACTATTGGGTAGGGGGAAAAGGGAGTAGGATCAAAACAAGGGGGGTGGGAATTGTATGGGGGTGATAACCAAGATGAAAATGCATACATTGTGCAAAAATGAAAAATGATGTAAAAAAAAAATAAATAAAAAATAAAACAGTCCAAGACTTCAAGAATCAGGGGAGGCCACCCAGACTTCAGCTGTGCAGGGAAATCTCTGCATTGGGGTGCCAAGGCCCAAAGTCACCCTTCTGGAAACTAGGGGATCTGCTGTAAGTAACAGCGATGAACAATTGTTGCCCAGGCCTGAAGAAGTTCTGTAGGGCCCTCAGGGAATCCACAGAACTGGAAAAGGTGAGCTTGTGATGAATATTGCAGAGGCCAGAGTGGGCGCAGGAGACCGATGCCCCCGCAGGCCAGAGGCAACGCTGGAAGACTTGACTTGGGTGCTCTAGCTATAGCTGCCGTCTCCAGCAGCATCCGTGAGCCCCCCAAGGACACGCATCTGGGCAGGCGTGCTTTGTTGTCTGCAGAGGTCTCGAGTCCTAGTGGTTCATCCCCAAGCACAGCGACCCCATGAAGCCTCTAGAGGCCATTTAGGGCTGGGGGCCACTCAGACTGTCCGGGCCTCAGCTCGGCCAGGCTGCCCCTCCCTGTCACTATGGAAGAAGAAAAATGATGAAATGATTTGAGGCAGGAAACAGACACATGAGTGTTGCTCAGGACCCGTTGCTCTTTTCCTGGTCTCTCTTGCTCTAACACCCCTTGCCGTCCCTCTCGCCATACTCTCCCCCAAGCATTATTTAAGAGAGCAAACATCTCTGTCTCTTGGATGGTTCTGGACCCTGTGCCCCCCCACCTCCTCCACCCTCCCCCACGAGCCACAGCTGGCTGTGAGCTCTGCGCTAGAAGATGGCGACTCATGGGAAACTTCTCCTTCTGGGCAAATGACAGTGATGTGAGCAGCCCCTCCCCCACGTCCCCCCAACAAGAAGTTGCCATTATTGCATGGCCAGTGGGATGCTCTCCTCCCGCTGCCCCAATTTCCAAATAAATCTGTAAGGTCACAGGTTCTGGACCCTCTCCTGGAGCGCTACCCAAGGTGAGCCCCACGGTACCCCATGGATCAGTGAGAACTTGGGGTTCCAGCATTCTCTTGAGATGCCTGGCTTCTAAGTCTCCGTCACAAGCATGCTTCTCCTGCTCTGGTCTCGCTGAGGAATTTGCCCCTGCCCCCAGGACTCCCCCTCTCTAGGAGTAACTCTGGACCCAGACCCACCCTGAGGGATCCTTTCATTGGGGTGACCACATGTCCTGGCTGGCCAAGATAGTCCTGCTCCCAACCCAGCACCCCATTTTCTCACCCAATAGTATCCCCATTCATACAATCAACCACGTGATTGCCCGACATCCAACCCATCTTTGTTCAGCGTCACCGGAAGCGGAATGGGTGGGGTGCCCAGAAGTGGTCTAGAAGAATCCACTTGGATTCTAGGGAAAGAGGCAGCAGCAGAAGAAATGAAGGTCCAGGCCCTGTGAGCTGAGTGCTGGGGTGTGTTGCTTGAGGAAGACGAGGAAATGGCTATGATGTGGGGAGAGGAGCTCTCCCTGATGCAAGTGGGGTGTTGGGCGGGGACAGTTGGAAAGTGTAGCTCTCATCATCACTCTTCTGTCTCAGAGTTGAGAGGGTGAAATGCACTGAGTCTTCCTCCCCAGAGGACACCCCATGGTTTGATAGCTGGCTCACCCCAGATGCCACCAGCACCTCCTCCCACATCCTCCCACATGCTAATGCTCTGCTTTCAGCACCCCCAAGGCGACACTCACCAGCCCCCACTTCTTTTCTCTAAGGGTGACCCCCTTCTTCTGCCCCACCAGTGAGCTTTGCCCTTGAGATCTGCTCAGCTCCCGCTGCTGCATCATTTGCACAACCCCACCCCCAGCACCCCAGTCCTGTCCTAGTTACCTCCCTTGACCAGCACAACACCGTGTTCTCTTGGGGGTCCTTTTCTTGTCCCTTCAGCTGTTGTCTCCACACCCCACCCTGTGAGGACCACCCACTCATGTCCAGAGAAGGGGCAGTAGTGTTCTTGCGGGTGCTGGTCGGGCCTAAACACGGTCCCCTCTATTTCTGTGCTCTTTCAGCCGCGGCAGAAACACAGCGGCAGCAGCTAATGGAAAATGACTACACTTCGAGAAACCTAGAGCTCACTACAGTAGCAGGGCACAGCCTGTGATGTTTCCTTGGCCAGCCCTGGCCTCGCCACCCCCTGCCCAGCCTGTGTGAGCTGGGCTCTCTACCCCTCTTCTTCAGCTCCCGGACACTCAGGACAGTGAAATGACTTGTGTCCCCCAAATTCATGTCCACCAGGCCCTCAGAATGTGACCTAACTTGGAAAGCAGTTATTTGCAGATGAATTTATTAAGGATCCTGGGAGGAAATCCCAAGTGCTGGTTGGGGGGGGGGGTGTCTCTTTTCTTTATCTGTTCTCATCATGCTCCTGGCCCTTCAGATGAACCCTACACATGGGGGACCCCAAATGCCTGGGTGTGGACCATGGTGTGCATCCTCCATTGGATGGAGAGGAGGAAGCAGCATTGGCCGAGAAAGAGGAGTGATTCCCTGAGCCAGAGGTGGGGGGTAGAGGGGTGGAGGTGGGGGTGGACATCCCCCCAATCAGAAGGGAGGTCGGCAAGGGAGAGAACACCACAGACACAACCACACCAGGACGACCATTTTTATTGCTTTTGTCTATTTCAGATTCAGGGTTGAGGTGCTCGGCCCGCAGGAAGGCAGAGGCAGGGACAGACTCCTTGTAGGGGGAGAGAGGAGGTGAAGGGAAGGAGTCTCCAGGGAGAGAGACTGGAAGCAGGTTCAGGGGAATCCAGGGCGAGGATGGAGAACGACTCAGCAGGCCCTACTGGGGCTGGCATCAGGAATCCTTTCTCTTGACCTGAGGAAGAGAGGACACGGTCAGGACCGCAGGGAGGGCGGGTTAGTAGGAGGGGTCAGCACAGACTGACTGTGGCCCGAATAGGGGAGGGCTGGCTGATCCCCCCGACTCCGAGGCTGCTTTCTGCAGTGATCCCTGCCCTGTCTCCCCAGTCCAGCTGGGCCTCTGTGTTTCACTGAGAAGACAAGCAACGTCAGGGCTGAGGTCAGGCTCCAGCACCCTCCATCCCATGGGGGGCATTTCACATTCTCCCTCTGACCACTGCCCTGCCCCTCCTTACCGTGGTCATCAGCACCAGGACGCCAACCAGCAGGGCGTACACGGCGGCCTTCCCCAGCAGGATCTCATAGAGGAGGGTGGCAGACAGGAGCCCCTGCCGGTAGGATGCTGGGGGGGAGCGCAGGTAGGTACCTCGAGCAAATACCTGTGCCCCCGCCCCACCCCCAGGGCCCACGGTTGTCAGGCCTCTGCTTCCAGAGACATGGGGGAAGGACAGAAGGAGGGCCACTTACCTGAGTTGAGGCCACAGTCTGAAAGAAAAAAGGGGCACACGGGTGAGGAGGAACACGCCACAGCGCAAGGGCCTGAGCCTCACCCAGAGCCTCGAAGTCAGAGGCTGAGCGGCCCGGACACGTGCAGGCCACGTGCGGGCAGCCTCCACACAGCCCTGTCTGGCCTCCTGCCCGGCGTCTGGCTTCACATTAGGACCTTAGGAACTGGGGCCAGTGCGGGGGCACCCCATCAGGTGCTGAGCCTGCAGGCCAGTCTAGGGAGACCCAGCTGCCAGGCTCTGGGGGTGGAGGCTCTGGGAGGACATGGCCCCAGGGCACCGCTCCCTGTCATGGTCCCCAAGCCCCCGGGGCCAGTCCTTGTGGGCTCTGCCTGGGCCTCCAGGTCTCTGGTCCACTCCCTGGGTGCCTCCCCCTGCAGCCCGCTCACCTGCTCTGCCCAAGACATGGACGCTGATGTTCTGGGAGAGGGCTTGGGTTTTGTTCACTAATGTCATGTTCTTAACTAACTCGTCCGCGTCTTCCTCTGTGAGGCCATGGAACTGGACTTGGCAGGTGAATTGGTTGCGTGGGTTGTGCCAGAAGCTGGCAGAGACCCTGAGCCGGCTGCTCAGGTAGTAGGTGGAGTTTTTGTTGTTAGGCTGATTCTGGTAGGGCTCGGGGTCCGTGCTGACCCCACTGCTGACCTCCTTCCCGTTCACCAGCCAGCTCAGCTCCACGTGGTTGGGGAAGAATTCGGTGGCCAGGCACACGAGCGTGGCCTTCTGGGTGCGACTGATCTCTGCTTCAGATGGCTCGAACAAGGTGACCTTGGGGGGACTGATCAGGTTCGGGTACTCTGGAGGGAAGAGGGGAGGGGAGCGGGGCTGGTGTGAGGGCGGCGGGGTTTAGGGGTGTGTGTGTGTGTGTGTGTCTGCTGGAAGGGTGATTATAAGACAATATCATGGAGTAGTACAGCCTGGTGCTTGGAGGTCACCCCTGTTCCTATGCTTGGTCTCCCCACAGGCAGCTCCAGCCACTGTCTCTCCACCCCTCAGACGTCTCTATGAGTGGAGTGCCCGCCATTCGGTGCCTCTTCCTGGCCCACTTGGTTTCTCCCCCACCAGTGCAGCCTGCTGCAGCTTCTCCCCGGGCTGCCCAGAGTGATTTGCAGGGAGCCCTGGGTTGAACAGGATCCAAACCTTAGACGGACTTTGTCCAAACGTGCTGTTAGTCTCTTCATTTCTCTGCCTGTGGAGGGAGAATTGCAGACTTCCCAGAGTGGCTGTGCAGCTTAGGGTTCAGACAGAACGCCCCGTCCTAGGGTGTGCCTTGCTATCTGAACCTAAGGGGCTGAGGTGTGAGGGGAGTCGGGGAAAGTGGCCCTTTGGGAGCTGGGGTTCTGCCGGTGACAGAAGTCAGTGGTGTATTGGGGCACTCAGGTGAGAACACCTTTTGGTGCCACGTCTGCCCCTGCAGATGTGAACTTTCTGAGTTTCTGGGGTCACCTGAGCCATCCCTCCACCTCCGGATGCCCCCTGAGTTTCCTCAGCTCAGCCGACTAACAATCTCTCCCTTTTGTCCAGTTTAGGGACTCTTCCACCTGCTCGGTCCCTTTGCTTCCGGAGAGCAAGCTTTCTGCTCCCACTGAGCTTCCGAACCAAGCACCCCAGCTCACCAGAGCCACTGTCTGTGCAATTTCTGCCCAGAGCCTCTGCTTCCTAGAGGGTCTGAGGGGAAGCTGTTCAAGGCCCGGGGCCTGTTTGCCCGCAGCACTTTCTGCTGCTCTCTGCTTTCCCTTGATGTTTTGGTTTCTTTCTGAGCAATTCTGTTACCAGAAAGAAATCTCCTTCTTATGAGAATCTAGTTGGCCTGGAAGATGGAGAGAATGTTCTTCTAGCTGACACCTCACATGTCTCTGGGGGAGCCTGACCTCAGGGCTGTCTGCATGGCTGGCCCTGCTGTCTTCATGGGGGATCAGTGGACCCCTGCTGAGAAGCACCCCACCCTGTACCCTAGGTTTGTTTAATGCTGCTGTCACCATTTTGAAATTCTGAATGATTTTTAAAACAAGAATCCCTACATTTTCACCCTAAGCTGGCCCTGACTGGCACCAGGCCAGTCCCTCCCAGCCCATCTTCCCGTCTACCCTGCTCAAGGCCATCGCTGCTGAGCCAGCCTGAAGTGGTGATATCTGGACTCGCGTCTGCACCGCTGGCCCCGCTGTCTCTGCTCTGACTAGTTCACTCTCCCCTAAAGACCCTGCCTCTCGGATTCCGGATTCCGCCAGCTCTCCGGGGCCACAGAGTGTTCTCCGCTGCCCCTCCCCAGTCCTTATTGTAAAGACCAGAGATGTCCTTTGACCATTGAGTCCACTGCTCCCCAAGATGGTCCCTGACGCGCTGGGCAGGACTAGCAGCAGCAGGACTGCACGCTGGACCACCCCACAGCGCGTGGCGAGGACAGTCCTTCTCCCTGAGTGTGAGAGTCTCTGTGGGTGCGGGTGGACTTGCTTTTGGGGTGTAAATGAGCTTCTGTTTGTATTCGCTCTGCTTGTGGGTTGGACGAGGCTCAGGCGGAATGGTGAACTTCATCTTCCTGGTCCCGACCCTCCACTAGCCACTACCCAGCCTTTCACTCCCATATCCTCATGCCAAGGCCTGACCCCCCATTGGCACAGGCCTCCCCTCCCCCCATCTCAGTGGCAAAAGGAAACACAGATTACAAGAACCTGCCCTTTACTGGGCTACAAGCAGTCCTCTGGCAGCCTCTCAGCAAATCAAGCGGTAGGTAGAGCTGATGGTATTCTGCAGTAGAGGGAACTGCGGGTCACCCTGATTCATTGCCAAGGCCACCAGGCCATTCTGGAGCCAGGGGCTGGGACAGGTTGACCTGGTTCTAGAATCTCACCTTTCTCCATCCCAGCTGGTCCCAGAAGTCCTGGGCAAAGCTTAGCCGAGCCCACAGTCTCCAGCTCCAAGTCAGTCTAACAACAGAGGGTGCTTGTTACAAAGCCCCAGGTAGGACACCTGCCTGGAGAGTTACTTCCCTTCTCTGGCCTCCATGTGCTCATCCCCTGGGGACCTTTAACAACCCCTTCCAGCTCCCAGAGCCTCAGACCCTCCAGGGAATTTTCTTCACCTCAGCGTAGCTGCATTTTAAGGTATATGTGTGACCACGAACTTCCTGCGCCCCCTCACCTACAATACTTAGTGGGAGAAGGGCGATTCCCTGGGGAGGCTGGGGGAGGGGCACACATCTGGGGCGAATGCACCTCAAGGGGCTCAGGCTACTGCTCCCAGCCCAGGGGCAGGAGTGGCTGCTGGACCCTCAGCCCTGGTGTCTGAGACTCAGGACAGGCCGGCAGGGGGTCCACGTCTAATTTTAAACCCACACAGCAAATCCACCAGCCCGCTTGGTTCCGACTCTTTCCCCTGGCTTGTTTGTACCTGCCTCTCTTTCTGGTCTCTGGATTCCCCTCCCGCAGGTCGTCTCTGCTCCTTCTCTGCTCAGCGGCACCCCCACCCCATCTAGCACCTTCCAGGAGCCAACCCTGCAGGTGCCCCGACCCCTGCGCCTTCCAGTCCCTCCAGCCGGGATTCTCCCCTGAGGCAGCGTCCAGCCCCCCTCCCCGGCCCAGCCCAGCTTCCCCCTTCTCGGTGCCGTCCAGGACCTCGCGAATCTCTCCTTTCCTGCTCGCCCAGCCCCCAAACGCTTCGGATAAAAGAACAAAAGCCCCCTAGCCGCACCCCCAACCCCACTCACGGTCCGGAGCCAGAGCACCCTGCCCTGCCGCCCCCTCGCAGAGCAGACCCCAGGGCCGGACTGTCTGCGCGCCGGCCCCCCCGCCCCCCCCCCGAGGGTGCGGGGCGCAGGGTCTCTCACCTATGACCGTGAGGCTGGTGCCGGGCCCGAAGTGCTGCTCATAGGAGCACAGAGGCCCAGCCCCGCGCGCAAACCCCCGCCCCGGCCGCCCCAGGGCGCGGCGGCTCCCAGCCCGGTTCCCGGGGGTCGTGGGCTCCCCGCAGAGCACCCGAGCGGCCCTGGACCCCACCACGGCCGCCGGCCCCCACCGCGGGCCCCGGATCACTCACCCACCACCGCGAGCCGGCTGCCCGCCCCGAAAGTGAGCGCCGAGGCCGTCAGGCACAGCCCCCGGCGCCCCCTCAAGAACCGGACCCCCCGCTCCGCGCGCGCCCCGGACCCGGCCGCCAGCCCCGCCGCCCGCCCGCGCGCTCACCTAGCACGGCCAGCCGCGTGCCGGCGCCGAAGTACTGGGTGTCCGAGGTCACGGCCCCCCAGCCCCGCACAAAAACCAGCCGCGCGCCCCCGGCTGCCCCCCGCTTACCCAGCACGGTCAGGCGGGTGCCGGCGCCGAAGTACTGGGTGTTTTGGCCCACAGCCCCGGGGCGCAGCACAAAAACGGCCCCGCCGCCCCGCAGGCGCCCCGGGTCCCTCCCTGGGGCTCCCTCCCGGCCCCCCAGCCCCCCGCTGCTTACCCAGCACGGTCAGCCAGGTGCCGGGGCCGAAATACTGGGTTTCTCCGCTCACAGCCCCGAGACCCAGGACAAAAACCCGGCGCTGCTGGCTCCTGCTGCCGGGGCTCAGCCCTGGTCCCCACGAACCCGGCGCTCGGCGCAGCACCCAGCACCCCGAGTCCCAGTCCCTGGCCCAGCCCCGCACGGAGCCGCGCAGCTGCCAGTGCCTCCCCGGAGACCCCCGGGAGCGCACCCCATCAGCCTTCCTTACCCAGCACGGTCAGCCAGGAGCCGGCCCCGAAGTGCAGCTGCCCGGTGTTGGCACAGCCCTGGGCACCCAGGCGCAAACTAGCCTCCCCCACCGGGGTCGGGAAGATCCGGCCCCCACTGCTCCAGGGTAGGGGTTCAGGGGGTCGCGCACACTGGGCAGCCCATCCTCCCTCTCCCCCACGGGGGGCGCCTTACCTAACACGGTGAGCTGGGTCCCCTGCCCGAAGTACTGCTCAGCATAGGAGCACAGTGGGACGGGGCTGCCAAGAACTGCCCTCCCGGCCCACCTCCCTGGGCACCGCTGAGCGCACAGCCCCTCTCCTTCCCAGGCATGGAGTCCCACCCCTACAATTAGCTGGACATAGTAAGTACTCTAGGCAATGCATGAGGTCACCCCAGTTTGCAGACAACAACCAACTTGGCATGGGGGCTGCACAGGGGACTCGGGGTCTGAAGGGGTGTTGGCCACGGCATTTGGGCTGGAATTGGGGAGCGTCCCCTGCTAGCCTTGCCTTGCTCTGTGTTTGTGACTTGCACCCTCCGTGACCTTGGAGTTTTCTTCTGCAGAGCTGGGAGGTGACCTCCCAACCGTCATGTGTGCAATGGACAGCACAGATGCAAGAACTTTGTCAAAGGCGGGTTTTCCGAAAAGTGCTGCTACTGATCCCACTTTAGCGCCAGGGTGCTTCAGGGAGCTGGGTGCAGGGCCAGGAGGTGCAGGGGGCTTTGCAGGGTCCAGTTCCCTGCTCCCGCATGCCAGGGCCTGCTCCAGAGACCGCCCCCAGCCGCGGTCCCCGTCGGAGCTGCCTTCCCAGCGCTGGGGGGCCGTGTTCGGAGGCAGGGCTTTTTGTAAAGGCATCTCCTTTGCCTGAATCATTGTGCCCCCCCCCAGTCCCCACAATGTTACACCACGATACAAAAATATTTGCTCCTTTTTTGCCCCCTCCCCCAACCACTGGGCAGCGGCAGGAAGCACAGGTGGCAGAGGTTGGTCTGATTGAGTGGGGCTGGGAAATGCCAACTCAGACTGCACTGGAAGTGGGGAGGGGCTTGGGAAGGTCTCAGTGCTTGTGCTGGGGGCAGGGGTGGGGAGGTGGATGACACTCCGCCCTGGAACATCCACCTCCCTGAGGAGGTCTGTCATCAGGCTCCCTCAGGACTCACTGTACCCACCTGCACACACTGGCATTTATAGAGGCAGGTGGGAGGAGCATGGGCGATGAAGCAGCAGGTTACGGCACCTTGCAAGGCGGGGAGGGGCGTTGTGAGGGGTGCGGGGGGAGGGGTTGAGGACAAACAACTCAAACCACTGTGATTCCCCATCACCCCCTGAACAAAATCCAAGCTCCCTACCCTTCTCTTATCCACACACATTTCATGAACACCTCCCCGGTGCCCACCCCACACTGGTCCACGGACGCCTGCCCTTCCTGGGGGTGGCACCCGCTGACCGGCCTCTCCGCTTCACCTTGGTCACGCCTGTCTCTGCGCTTGGCACCTGGAGGCACTGGGGCCTGTTGCTCAGACTTCTGTTCATGCCCCCCCATGACGACCTCTTGCCCACATGGACATTGGGACCACACCTCCTGCCAAGGGGTTGCCTCCTCCTCAGATTTCTTCCTGGGGACCCCACTCGGAGATGGAGGGCTGGCCTCTGACTGCATCTCCAGACACGCCGCCACTTCAGCCTTTCTGGATAGTTCAGCTGTGTCTATTTGTGAACTTTCCCTCATGAGCCATCATTTGCGTGGGGACGTGGAGCGCTTTACTTTCTTGAAGGTTAACAAAGCATTGCAAGGCTCTGGGCTCAACGAGCGGGTGACTAGACATGCTTTATGCCCCCACGCAGACATGCATGTGTGTGTGTGTGTGCGCGCACATGCATATTTGAGTTCACTCTTGTGCTGCAGTCGGACAAGTAAGCAGGAGGGCAGGTGGTGCTTTCAGGCAGATCTGAGATCAAATCTGCCCCTGAATCGGGTCACTTTGGGTTCATTCATTCCTTCAAAGAAAATGTGTGCTGTGCCTACACTGAACCAAGGGCTGTGCCGTGTCCTGGGAACCTGTAATGAGCACATCCTGTCATCTAGGTGCTGACCGTCAGATGGGGAGCTGGGCAGGTCGGAGGTGGTCTCCATCAAGTGTGATGGAGGTGGGCATGAGTCCCAGGAGAGCAAAATAGCGGGTGTGTTTAATGCAGCCAGGGCAGTCAGGGACAAGGGAAACGTCATAGAGGGGAAGAGAGTTGTGCTGACTCTTTAAGGGTGAGTGGGTGTTGGGAGCTATGCCATTCCAGGAAGAGGGGTGCAGAGGGCTGGGGGAGCAAGGAGCTGAGGGTTAGGGGAGAGAGGATCCAGGTAGTGTGGAATAAGGAGGTGGAGGAGGGTCTTAGGTGACGTCTGAAGGACTTTGGGCTCCATCATTGTGGTTACAATGAGACCATGAAGCGCTTTGGAAGGAGTTCTAGAAAGAGCACGAGGGTGCACCTTGATCTTAAAGAACATGGCTTCTGTCCTTCCAGGAGTGATCAAGTCTCATTTACACACCCATTTCATTCACTAGCGAAAAATTTATAAGCAGTTTTGTAACTGCAACAGGAAGACTCATCTGCTACTAAGAGTAAAATCGAGTCTGTGCGTTCTCACCTCAGCTGGGAAACCTATTTGGTGAATGGCGGGAAACAAGCGGTGTGCCGGGGAGACACAGGACAGGGTGAGATATATGAGACCAAGCTTGTTAATCAGGGGCAGGGTCAAAGGTCAGGTGGACACACCCACGGGTTGGTTCTTGCTGAGAGCGCTGCTGTTGTCCAAGCAGAGCAGATAATTCCAGCGCTCAGCACCTCCGTTTCTCGGGGGGGCTGTTCTGCAGGAAGCCTCTTCACATCCTATCACCACCTTCCACATTTATTTAAGCCTCCCTGGCAAGGAGCAATGTCCGCCTCAGGCAGTGTCCCCCATTCCGGAGGGGACAGCATGTTCTTGTTCTAGTCTGATGGGACAGGGAGCCACACGGATGTCAGAGACCAACAGGAGCGACACGTAGACACTCGCAAGGCAGAGTCAAGCCAGAACAAGTGACCTTTATTGGTTCAGTTGACCAGGCACGCTAGGGTCCCCAGGGTGGGAGTGTCGGCCATGCGTGTCCAGGCATGCACGCACAGAGGAAGCGGGCGATGGGGTGGGGAGGCAGGAGAACAGCTCTCCGAAAGCGCTGGCGGGAGGGTGAAGGGCACCCATGTCAGCAGTACCAGTGGGGACGCTCTGAGCGGCTCAGGAGTCCTTTCTCTTGACCTGAAGAAGAGGAAGTTTGGGAGTTACGAGGAGCCAGGAGCAGTGGGATTGAGAAGCAGCAGGAAGCACCCTGATGAGGACAGCAGGGCTCCTCATGAGGTCACGTCAGGGCCTTGCAGCGCCTCAGCTTCTCTGCTGGGGCCCGAGTGTCTCCTGAGGCGCGTGGGTGAACCCCTCTCCCTGAGCTGCCCACTCTGGTCCTGCCTTGTCTCTAAACGCCTGGCTGAACCCCTGTTTCGAGGGTCACCTCCAGTCACTGCCCTGCCTCTCCTTACCGTGGTCATCAGCACCAGGGCGCTGACCAGCAGGGCGTACACGGCGGCCTTCCCCAGCAGGATCTCATAGAGGAGGGTGGCAGACAGGAGCCCCTGCCGGTAGGATGCTGGGGGGGAGCGCAGGTAGGTACCTCGAGCAAATACCTGTGCCCCCGCCCCACCCCCAGGGCCCACGGTTGTCAGGCCTCTGCTTCCAGAGACCAGGGGGATGGACAGAAGGAGGGTCACTTACCTGAGTTGAGGCCACAGTCTGAAAGAAAAAAGGGGCACACGGGTGAGGAGGAACACGCCACAGCGCAAGGGCCTGAGCCTCACCCAGAGCCTCGAAGTCAGAGGCTGAGCGGCCCGGACACGTGCAGGCCACGTGCAGCAGCCTCCACACGGCCCTGTCTGGCCTCCTGCCCGGCGTCTGGCTTCACATTAGGACCTTAGGAACTGGGGCCAGTGCGGGGGCACCCCATCAGGTGCTGAGCCTGCAGGCCAGTCTAGGGAGACCCAGCTGCCAGGCTCTGGGGGTGGAGGCTCTGGGAGGACATGGCCCCAGGGGGCCGCTCCCTGTCATGGTCCCCAAGCCCCTGGGCCCAGTCCTTGTGGGCTCCACCTGGGCCTCCAGGTCTCTGGTCCACTCCCTGGGCTCCTCCCCCTGCAGCCTGCTCACCTGCTCTGCCCCAGACTTGGGCGCTGACTTTCTGGGTGAGGGCTCGGGTTTTGTTCTCTAACCCCTTCGCGTCTTCCTCCGTGAAGCCATGGAACTGGACTTGGCAGACGAATTGGTTGCGTGGGTTGTGCCAGAAGCTGGCAGAGACCCTGAGCCGGCTGCTCAGGTAGTAGGTGGTGTTGTCAGTCGGATCCTCGTAGGGCTCGGGGTCCGTGCTGACCCCACTGCTGACCTCCTTCTCGTTCACCAGCCAGATCAGCTCCACGTGGTTGGGGTAGAAGTCAGTGGCCAGGCACACGAGCGTGGCCTTCTGGGTGCGATTGACCTCTGCCTCAGATGGCTCGAACACGGTGACCGTGGGCGCCCTGACCTTGTTTGGGTCCACTGGAGGGAAGAGGGGAGGGGAGCGGCGGGGTTTGTGTGTGTGTGAGTGAGTGTGTGAGTGAGTGAGTGTGTGTGTGAGTGAGTGTGTGTGTGTGAGTGTGTGTGCTGGCAAAGGTGATAACGACACAACAGAACGGAGTAGTAGAGCCCTTTTGGACTCAGTATCTCACTCCTTAGATGTTGTCTCCAACTTGGCTGCTGCCGTCTTGGCTTCCCACGGACGCCCGCTGCCCACTAGCCCCCACTTTCCCACAGTGACGTTACGTCCTCATTTCTGGGTGTTTTTGGAAATGTCTCCTCTCAGATCCTTGTTTGACTATGTACCAAAAGAGCATTTTTCTCCCTCATCCAGAGTCCCCTGGTGCGGGGCTCTCTCCTCTTGCACACTCAGATATGACTGCAATAGACTTGAACAAGCCTGGATGTGGAGACAGGACATTCTCACTAACAGGATCCCGGGACCTAGATTGATTTTTCCTGGTTGGAGGTTCCTGTTTCGGCAAAGTGCACAGCACCAGCCAGTCAGGCACAGAGAGGCACTTTTCTGACGGCTCCTTCTACCTGCCATGCTCAGCTCACATCCTTTCTTCCTCCCATGTCACCTCCTTGGAGCAGCCCTGGCACCCTGGCTATGGTCATCTCAGATGTTCCTCCAGCTTTGGGGGTGCCCAGCCTGGGCTGTGTGTACCATCACGCCACATCCCCAGAATCCCATGAAAGGCTCCGCCTGTGCATCGAGCTTTCTTCCTTGCGTGCCCAGCTCTTCCCTGCAGCTCTGCAGCCCTCATGGATGGCCGAGCTTTGCATTCTTAAAAGCAGCACAAGGTTGGTTAGTGAGTGTGATGAAACCCCAAATCCAGCGCCATTTCCTCAGAGAGCTCACATGTGAGCTCCTGGAGCCTGTCACCTGCCTGGCAGAGGGGAGGGTGTCCGGGAGTGTCGGAGCATGCGGGTGGGAGGGAGCCATGGCCATCTTTCAAGGTTACTGCTTTTTGCTAGATTTTCCTGATCTATTTGCTTCTGTTTTAACCAGGGGAGTGAATGTTTGGCGTGGAGATGTGGCAAGCCCAGGTCTCCACTTTGTCTAAATCCAGGAAAGGTTTTGGATGGAAAAATCGAGCCACAGTTTTGGGTGAAGGTCAGCTGTGACCCGGCCACGACAAAGGCATTGCTCTCCCTGAGTCCAAATTGCATCAGCCCCTTCCCCCCCAACCCAGCCATTTTGAATCCCAGGGACTAGAAATTTCCAATTTTTCACTCCCAACAGGGGCTCCCTCTGCAGCACCGAGCCCCCAGTCAGCAGGACCTGGGCCTGCCATGGCCCTGGAAGTCCTCAGCCCAGACCCCACCCCCCTTGCCCCACTCCTCAGCCAGCCCTGCCCTTCCCTGCTGACCCAGCACAGGTCTGGCTTTGAGAAAACGGAGCCTCCGACTGTTCATCTCCTGTACACCTCCTCTGTGGCTGAGGCGGTTCAAGTTTACAGTTGTAACGGTTCCTTCAGACTTTCTCCTCTGACCCCCCTAAGCAGTGTCCCCCAGGGGCCTCCTACAGCTCCGTGGAGGTGTAACAGGGCTCTGCCCTCGGGGCTCAGCAGCACCCCTCAAACCACCCCCTTACTAGCCTCACTCTGGAGCCCTCAAACCACCTCAGGAAGGCACACCTGGATCTCTGCGGGCAGTTGAGACAGAGGAAGGGGTGATGGGGGCGAGAGCTGAGAGCCACGCTGGAGGGAGACGTGGGGAAGGATTTTAGCAGAGAAGGCACAGCGGCTCCCCCAAACAGGGGAGGGAAACAACCCTGAAAGCACACAGCCCTGTACGGCGGGGATGAGAGATGGAGTTCGGAGAGCAGAATAGACCAGGAGCGCACCAAGGCGGGGCAGGAGGGGGTGAGGCGGATGAACCCCAGGAGGGAGGATGGCTCCCACCGCCTCCTTGTCCCTGCTGCCCCCCAGGAACTGGCCACTGGCCAAGCACAGCCCCAACAGTCAGGAGGAGCCCCGGTACCTGTCACGGTGAGCCTGGTGCCCGAGCCGAAGGAGAGCGGTGAATTGTAGGAACACAGCCGCAGAGGGCTGTGGCGAAACCGCCCCGAGCCCCGCCAGGGCTGAGGTCCTAGTGCACCCCCACCGGGAGAGCCAGCTCCCTCTCCCAGCCCACTCCGGCTCTGCACCCAAGGGTTCCATCACCAGCGCGGGCCAGGGTACACCGGAGAGAGACAGGGTGCGCTGGGGGCCAGGCCCCCTCTGAGGAGGCAGGATGAACATGGAGACAAGCGGGAGGAGATGGGGTGGCCTGGAGACATGCGGGATGCAGGGGTCAGCCAGGGCCCTGGAAGTCCCGCGAGGCCAGGCTTGGCAGGAGAGAGAGAGCCTCTGTGTCCGGGGGACGGGCCCTCCACGGGCCCTGCGCTTACCTGGGACAGTGAGGCGAGTCCCGTCCCCAAAGTGCAGCGGCTGGTTGGTCCACAGTGTGGCAACGGCGCGCAAACCCCAGGGCGCCCAGCGGCCCTTCCAGAAGCAGCTTCCACCCCAGCCCCGCTCTGGCACCTGCCGCCTCACCCACACGCCTCTCAAGGAGTCCTCCCCAAACTGGTCTTGGTGATAACACAGCGTCCCCGGGGCGCCCTTCGCTTACCCGAGACAGTGAGCTTGGTGCCGGTGCCGAAAACCAGGGGATCGTAGTTACACACCATGAAAGCCTGGTAGAAAATGGCCGCAGCCCGCGCCCCTACCCACAGCCCACCCGCCAGCGCTCCCTTCCCTGTCTTAGCGGGTTTTAGCTCCAAGTAGTGGAGGGGTGGGTGACCCCATCCCCGCCGTGTCCCTCGCCTTTCTGTGCCAGGAAGGGCCTTCCGGGACAGCGCCCCGAGGCCAGAGGCCCGGCCATCTCAATGGCCGCCCTGGAGGCTCCTCCACGGGGGGATGGACCCTGGCTGAGCTGGCCGCCCCTGGACTCAGGGCTCTGCACCAAGGGGATTCCATCATGAACGAGGTTTAGGGTACAGCAGAGAGAGAACCAGGCAGCTGCTGGTGGCGGAGGCTGTCCCGGCGGTCTGTACCCAGACAAGAGTTCAGACCACCCTGAGAAACAATGGAGTGTGTCAGCACCCAAGTCAGAGGCTCTGTCTGGATCCTGGCCTCTCCCGGTGGGCTCCCAGACCCCCACCCACTCACTGGCCTGCAGCCAGCCAGCGCCCCTCCCCCAGATTGGAGGCTGTCTCCAAGCACAGCCTCCAGGCGCCACTCCAAAATCTCCCCTGTCCCCTGAGAACAGCTGGGAATCTGGGAGAGGTTGGGGGGTCCCTCACCGAGCCACCAACCCCACCTCAAGCACCCCACAACACAGAGCTGGCCCAGGCCCCCAGCCGGGGAGCACACACAGTGTTGCCAGCTATGAAATCCAGAGCAAGGAAGATTGGAAGCTCCAGGCAGAGAGAATGTCAGGGCCTGAGAGTTACCTTGACTCCTCTTTCTCGGTCACCACCCTGGGGGGTCACCTCATCTCTGTTCCCTTCCTACCCTACCCAGCGGAGCTCCAGGCTGACATCTCAGAGGACCGGGGTCTGGGTGGATCTGCCCTCACAGGGACCCTCCTCAGATAAGGAGGCGACGTTTCCAAAGCCAGTACCTGAGCTGGACCATCCCACCCTCCCCAGTTTCCCAAGGTTGAGTCCTCCCATGTGGACCCCCAAGGAGACCCCAGGCCTCACCTACGACCGTCAGCTTGGTCCCTGAGCCGAAGGTGTAGTCATAGGAAGCACATCAGGAACGAGCCTCTCCAAAAGGGACCCTGCTCGCCTGCCCCCCTCCGCGCCCCGGAGGCCTGAGAGTGATTACCTACGACGGTGAGCCTGGTGCCTTCTCCAAAGAAGACTTGGGTGTTCGCACAGTGGCCTGGGGTGGGAGGAAAAGAGCGGGGTGTGTGCAGAGGGGCCCCGGCTGGTGTCCGGGGCCTGCAGATAAGCAAGCCGTCCTGGGCGACACGGATACTGTGCAGACAAGCCCGACTCCTGTCTCTTGAGGGTCAAATCCAGATCCTTCCAGAGGGCACCATGCCCCTTCTCGAGTCCTTCTGAAGGTCCATCAGAATGTCGTGGGCTGGGGAGGAGAGCAGCACCCCGGAACCTGTGGCTGCGTCCATGGAGGGGAGAGCTGGGCCTTCTTCCTTCTAGAAGGGGTCGCCCCACACGCCTGCTGCTGGGCTCGTCTTGGGCTTGGTGGGGTTGACGTGAAGGGGGCCCCCTGCGTCCTTCTCCCTGGAGGCCACACATTCCTCTGGCAGCTGGTGCTCTCCTCGAAGCTCCGTTGCCTTCAGGGCCTGCCCTTGTCCAGGCCTGGCTTGGCTGGGGGCCTGGGAGGGAGCAGAGGTCCTGGCCCAGTCCACCCTCCGGCCTGTGGCTGGGGAGAGGCGGCGGGCCCGTGGCCTGGGCAGGTGGGAAGGTTTTTGTAAAGGCGCCCCGTGAAGTTGTATCACCGTGGCCCCCTGTCCCCACAATGTTACAGCTTTCTACAAAAACGGCCCCTCCCATGGGCCCGCCCCTCAGGTCTGGGAAAAACCACGGGAACAGCTGCTCCTTCAGGGGTATCAGACTAGGGGGATGGTGACATCACTCCCACGGTAGGAGGTGGTGGCAGGGCTGGGGGGCCCTCTCTGCGAGGGACCACGGGGTCCTCTCTTTGGGAGGTCTGTCCCACTCAAGGCCATGTGTGCGTGTGAGGCTGTCTCCCTCGGGGGCTGGTTTTCTCCTATCCACCCCCCTGCACTGTGTCGTCACTGTGGGGGCCGGTGTCACCCTGTCAGAAAGCAGCACCCCTTCACACTGGCCCCGCCCCAGGCTATGTCACTCGAGGTCACACCTGTCATCCTCAAGTGAGACCCCGACTTCCCTGCCCTCTATCCCTCTGCTCCAACTCTGGGCTCTGGGTGGGTGGAGGCTCTGGGATTGGCCGGGAAGGTCTTCCAGACAGTGATGGCCGAACTGCTTCTGAATGGGGTGGGTGAGACTCCCCACAGCTTCTCACTATGGACCCCAGAAACCTGAGCTATCTAGGGAGGGGGGGCAGAGCTGGGTAAACACTGTCCAGAACCCCCAAAGACAGTTCTACAGTCACCTCACCAGGCCCCCACCTCTTTGCCTGAAGGGTAGAACTGCGTTAAGCTGTTGGTAGATGCTTTATTTTCCCTGCACAAGATGACCTTGAGATTTGACCTCCAGCTGAGTGGCCTAGATCCCATTTCACTAGATGATGCTTTCTTTCTTTTTGCCTTTCAAACTATGACTTGAAATCTAGAAGGAAAAGGGGCAACTTTGAGGACATAAGGAGACACACTAGCAGCGGAAAATCAAGATACACAAGACGGTGGGAAGACATTTGCTGGACTCAGCTGGCCATTATCTGAAAATTGATTTCATATTGTAGACAGCATATATAGTATATATGTGTATAGATAGGAAAATGATTTCATATAGTAGACGGTAAATATGGCAAAGAAAATGGGCTAGAGCAAAAAAAAAAAAAAAAAAATCCAAATGGTGTTTAGCTACAGGGAGAAACCTGACAAGGATAAATGTACAGTAGACTCCATGGAAGTGCTGCTTCCCACCCATTTGACTGACAAACGTCGAATTATAAAGACCATTCTGTTGGTTAGTCTGTTGTGAAATGCACACTTTTACCCACAATTGCTGTTAGAAGTACAGGATGATACAATCTTTTGGGAGCAATTTAGAAACATTAAATTTACGAATACATTTATTTTTTCACCCAGAAATCCCACCTCTGGGAATTTATTCTGTGCTTATTCTTGCATGCAAATAAAAACTGCATATAAAATATTTGCATTACTTAGGATAGCAAAAAGATTGGGGAACTAAAGTGCATTTCAGTCAGAGGCTGGATAAATAAGCTGATTTGCACACTGAAGAGTGTATCATACCATGCTGAGAAAGACAGAATGGAAATGTTTCATATTGCTATGAAAATTTCCCTAAGGTATATTGTGACTTGGAAGAAGCAAGCTGTGGAATAGTTTCCCTATATACTCTCTTTTGTTTAACAAAGGAGAAAATGGGGATTGTGCTTTTTTTGCTTGAGTAGACAGAAACAGTGGAAGCGAACTTAACATTTTTTTTTTTAAGATTTATTTATTTATACATACAAGCACTGGGTACAGTCAGAAGCACGGAAGGGTGAGAGAATTCACCAGAGCCAGAGCGGGGAGCAGAGCAGGCAGAAGGACCGAAGGACACTGCTGAGGGGAGCAGCGGGCGGCAGGAGAGGTCTGCGCGCCATGGGGGACCCTCCTCCTGTGGCCGGGGAGCAGCCGGGGATCGAACCCACGCTGCAGAGGCTGTGGGCAGCTTCGCAACCCAGCTCTCAACCGCTGCGCCACCAGGAAGGCCCCCGAACTTAACATTTTTTAGGGTCAATTTTATTGTCTTGTTTCAAATCGTGAAGCACGTGGCCACATGCTTTATGCTACATGTGGCCACATGCTATTATGTATTTACAATAAAAACAATACAATTTAAAAGAAAAGGAAAAGAACAAAATACTCTTTAAATATTTTGAACACTGTTATTTTAAAAAAGCTACGTGTTCCACTGATGAAGCCATTCTTCTTAAGAAGATCACTTGTGTAAGAAGCTGTTTTATGAGCCTGAATTTGCTCAAACCTCCAACCACGTGGGAAACTTGGGAAAAAATGCATGTTTCAGGAATGTTTCCATGATCTCTTGAGTTAAAATTTCCAGAAGTGGGTTTATTAATTCCCACTTAGATGAACAATCAAACACATTACCTGGGTATTTCCATTTCTGTGCCAGGCCCGGACCCTCTACGCGTTCTGGGACGAGGAAAAGGGCAGAAGTCTGCCCTGGAGAACGTCGGAGTGCTATCTGGCGGTGCCATGGCTCAGCTCTTAGAATTTAGGGGCAAAAGAAAAGCAAAAAAAGACAGTTGGATCCACTCATCAAAAGTTACCAGCGGTGCTGAAGCGGCCATTCATCCACCGGAGCAGCAGGTGGCAGCCTTGCCTTATTTTTCAGCTCTGAGTCACCGCAATGCCAGCGTGGCCGCTGGAGGGGGCAAGAGGACTGTGGATGGTGCCCTGTGACCTAGCAGGGCACCAGCTCACCGCGCTTTCCTCAAGGTGTGTTTTGGGGTGGGGTTGGGGGAAGAGATGAAAATTTAAAAATAGCATCTTATGACTGTATAATCTTTGAGCCCTTTGAAGCACGTGGATAGAGTATTTTTAAAGATTAATTTGTGCATAGAAGAACTGGGGTACCGACCAGAGGTGGGGGGCAGTGAGAGGATTCACCAGAGACAGAGTGGGGAGAAGAACAGGCAGATCCACTGAAATCCACTGCTGAGGGGAGCATTGGGGAGACAGGAGAGGTCTGCTGCGCCATGTGGGTAGCTCCCTGGCTGGGGATCGAACTCGTGCTGCAGTGGCTACTGATAGCTTCATAGTGCTGAGACTTAACCCCTTGCACCACCAGGGAGGCCCAATATGCTTATTTTAACATAAAAGTGACCATGTCCGGATATCAGGAGCGAGGGCGGGCTGACATGGACAACTCTGCTGTACCTGTGTCCTTCAGAGCAGGGCGGGGTGTTGGGAAGTGACCCCAGTGGGCTGCAGGGGGTGGGGGATGGGACCAATGGTTTAGGAAGCTCAGGGAGGAGGGGAATCAAGAGGCCAGGATGTTCATGGTCTTCCCGGAGCAGCTGGCCCTGGGGCGAGAGGCTCTCATGGTCCTGAAAAGAGGTACAAGGGCCCAGACCCCCAATATGCACTGACCCTGCCTCACCTATTTGAGGGGATTTTTATGACCCTTGTTTTCATTACAAAACAGCCTCTCAGCCCTCTGCTTCCTATTCCTTGGATTCCACCCGCCCCCTCAAACTGTGAGTCCATATCTGGGGCATCCCCTTTGGGAGCTGGGCTCCCTGCTTATCCCTGAGGTACAGCCAGGCTGAGGCAGAAGCAGGGACGCAGGAAGGCACAGACACGGGCACTGAAGTAGGGTCAGTTTATTTCGGGGGGTGGGGAGGGGGTGTCTAGTAGGCAGCCATGGTCTGCTCGATCCAGTCCACGTAGTTGCAGACCTTGGTGTAGACGCCGGGCTTGCCCTTCTGGGCGCAGCCGTAGCCCCAGGAGACGATGCCCTGTAGTTCTCCGTTGCAGACCACGGGGCCACCGGAGTCACCCTGGGGGAGGGAGGCGGGATGGGTTATCCAGGAGAAGCCAGGTGGGACTGAGCCCCCCTCAGTCAGCCCTGAGACACCCTGGCTGTGGGCATCTCCGTACCCACATCCTGCAGCTGGGGCCGCCTGGAGCCTGTGCCCAGGAGATACCTGCCAGACAAGCTGGCCTGGTGCCGACTTTGGGCACCGACTCAGGGGTGCCATCCGCTCCCCAGGTGAGTGTGTGAGTGGGTGTGCACGCGTGTGCGCAGGGTGTCCGCGCCCACGCCCTCACCTGGCAGGAGTCCTTGCCGCCCTCCAGGAAGCCAGCGCACACCATGTTGGCGGTGATCTGGCCGGGATAGGAGGCCTCGCACTGGGCCTGGCTCAGCAGAGGGGCGTCCAGGCACTGCAGCAGCTCGGGGTAGTTGACTTGGGGGCAGGAAGAGAGATGAGGGGACATGTGGGCGAGGCCGGCACGGGGAGGGTGATCGAGGGCTGAGCCCAGGGCAGTCAGGAGCAACCCCTCCATGCGAGCCCCAGCAGGAGGCGGGAGCTACAGTTCCCCCAGGAGTCCAGGAGGCTCCCCGCCCAGGAGGTGAGAGCAGAGGGTCCTCCCCATGCTCTCTCCCCACCCCAGGGGTCAGCCCTGGAGACCCTCCTCCCTGCCTCACTGCACCCAGCCCAGCAGGGCCCCGGGCTGTGCACGTGGGGGACACGCAGGAAGCAAAGGGGTTCAAGCCCAGGACACACTTGGGTCTGGGAAATGTGGGGACTGAGGGAGGGGGGGTGAGCAGGGGACCCCACTTACCGCCAGAGCTCAGGGTGTTGCCCCAGCCAGAGATGAGGCACTGGGTGCCAGCGGGGGCGCAGCTGGTGGGCAGGGACACGGAGGCCACGCGGGCGCTGAGGACGGCGGGCTGGGCCAGGCGGATGAGCATGATGTCGTTGTCCAGGTCCCAGCCGTTGTACCTGGGGTGGCGGATGACCTTGGCGGAGTCGATGAACTGCTCGCCGCCCTCCAGGACGTCGATGTTGTGCTCTCCCAGGCGGACCTGGATGCGGCTGTGGGAGGGAGGGCAGGGCTTGTCTCCAGGCCAGTCCCCAGGGCTCTGGGCTCCCTGCTGGGCTTAGGGGGAACTTGGGGGGCAGGGCAGTGGGGAGGGTGGGTCCTCCTCTGCCTCAGAGGAGGGTGGTGGTGAGAGGAGCAGGGAGAGGGGAAGGTCAGGGAGGGGGCTGCTCCTCAGCCTGCTTGTCCAGCCCCCTGGTGCCCCCTTGCAGCCAGCGCAGTGGGCACTGAAGGGCTCCTGGTACTCTAACTGCGCACAGGGCCTCCCCTCCCTCCTGCTCAGTGGTGAGCCCCACATTTTGTAGGAGCCCTTCCTGGGTTCTGACTGCAGCCCCACACCTGCAGCACCCCCCTCCCTGGGAGTTAGTTGGAAACACCCAATCCCAGGCCCAGGCAGACCCTCTGAGTCAGTCCTGAGCAGCCCCTGGGGTGGGGGTGCTGATGACTCAGGTCTGGAAGCTGATTCTCTGGATATTGGGAAAGGCAGAGACTGTCAAAGCCCAAATTATTACTCTCTCTGCAGATTCAGAGCCCAGGGCTGGGCTGGTGATTTACTCAGGGGGTTCTGAGGTGCAGCCCCAGGTAAAGCAGGGAGGTGCTCCCTGGCTCCTGCCGGGCCCTTCTGCCAAGTCACTGCTCCCTGCTCCTTGGGCCCATCGCCCTGGCTGTCTGAAAGATTTCTCTGCGGTGTTAGATGCTGTCAGTCCTGTGGCCTCTCTTCACCCCAGCTCCTGCCAGTCTATTGCCACTGGTACCTTTTTCTCCCGTCCCTGCAGGGCACACCTGAGCCCACCACAGCACCCTTGGGCTCCCAGCTCTGGGGCCAGCACGGGCGGGGCTGCACTTACGACTTGTAGCAGTGAGCAGCGGACACCACCCACTGGTCGCTGATGAGGGAGCCCCCGCAGAAGTGGTAGCCGGCGTTCAGGGACACCTGGTAGGGGATGGAGTTCTGGGCGCAGGTGTAGCCCCCGACGATCTTGTCATCGTCGTCAGCGGGGAAAGCCACTGCAGGGCAGACGGGGAGAGGGCGTTTTAGCTGCATGTTGGTGGGGAGCCCTCCCCGCGCTGGACCCTGCTCCTCAGGGTGGGTTAGCCAGCAAGGCGAGGAGCCAGGCAGTCAATGAGCACCTGCTCCACAGGAGGGGGACATCCCCAGGAACCTCCCCAGGGCCCCATGTGTGCAGGGCACAGAGCCAGGAGCCTGCAGGGCTCAGCTGGGGGCCTGGGACCTAGACACGGGATGCTGCTCTTGCTGTTTCATTACAGTCTGCTCCCATGGCTGTCTGTGCTCCGATGACAGGATGAGTTGTCCTAATTGGAGCAATCCTGGCCACGTAGCCCGGCTGCGTCCAGCTGCACCCAGCTCTCCCATAGGTCAGGTCTGCACTAGGAGTTCCGGGATATCTGCTCCAGCCCCATGAGACGGGACACAGGTAGGTTCATTTAATGGACCGTAGTTAAGGGGGTTCGGCCTGGGCTGAGAATATGGGAAGCTTAAAGATTCATGGAACAGCACACCCTGAGACAATGAATTCAGAAGCACTGGGGGTGGGACCCGAGTAGCTGTTCACCAGCCCAATGCAGCAGGGGACGACGCTGTCCTGGAGACACCCCAGGCCGCAGCACTGAGCTCCCCACTGTGGGTTGTTCCATGGACCCCGCCACCTGCTCTTCCTTTGCATTCTCTCTGACCACAGCCCTGAAATGGGGGAGGGATGGGCCCAGAGTCCCGCAGGAGGGGAGGGCCTTAAAGAGAGCCCAGAGGGAAGAGGTGACCCAGCGCAGAGAGCACAGGGGAGGCCGGGAGGCCGTGGGAGCAGCAGCGCGGTGTCCGGCGGGAGGGCGCGGGGCTCACCAGCGGCTCCCACGAAGGCGAGGATCAGCAGAGGATGCATGGCTGCCGAGTGTGCCCGAGGCGGCGCAGGGCGGCCTTTATACCTCCCGGGTGGGCGCAGGAGAGGGCGGCGGGTCTGGACACCTCCCAGGGCAAACACACCTGCGGCTTTCCCATGCCGGGCCCGCGTCAGCTCTGCGATGTTTGGCCGCCCTGTGGGCTCGTGACCCCGGGTGATAAGGGAACTGCGCTTCTGAGCGCAGAGAGGAGGGTCAGCTACTTCTTGGAAGGGATTCCACCTGCCACGGCTGGGCCTTCTTATGCGAGGAGACGAGGGGCAGGAAGGGGAGGAAGGACGTGGGCCCTGGAAGCTCTGGCCTGGTGGAGACGGACGACACCGCTGTGGAAGGGCTGGGAGGGCGCCCACTGCGCTGCCCGCTGTCCCAGGGCCCCTGGAGAGCAAGGAGGTCATGTCTAAATCTTAAATCTCTGAGCATGAAGACTCTTCCCTTGAGTCTAAGCAATGGGTAGGGTATCAAGCCTAGAGGTTCGTGAACGAGATCCGGGGAGACGAGTAGGAGGCGGGAGGAGCTGCCCCTCTACAAGGCTTGTGGGGGAAGGTGTCCAGGGCGGGAAAAGGTTAACTCGTGACCTTAATCTGCTTCATTGTGCGTGGGGTGAGAAGACCCACTCCGCCTCATCCTCACCCTCCGGCCACTGGTGGTCTCATCCCTCTGCTGTGCGGGGAGGGTCACTCTCAGAAGTCTTGTCTGAGGGCATGGAAAACAGACCCGGCCAGCTAGGGGCTCTCAGCCTCAGCAGGAATCTAGGTCAGATCTGCTGGACAGCTCGGGTACTGGTCAGAGAGCAGCAGGGGGTAGAGACATTTGCAGAAGGGACAGGCACTGGGCATTGGGCATGCTGAGGCCTGGGGTGTCTCTTTAAAGTTAGGGGCTTTCTCCTAGAGCTGCAGTGGGACTGTTTTCCCCGGCAAGTCAAGAGTAACCTTCCCAGCAAGGTCTCAGGGGGTGACCTGCGGGCGTGTGATGTGACGAGCCGGGAACCGGGGCAGGTGTGTGGAGGAAGGAAGAGCACCTACAGGACAGCAGGTCGAAAGGGGTTTATTTAGAGAAACAGGCCAGGAGCTGCCAGCAGCAAGAAGCCAGAGGAGACTTAGGAGAGGACAGATGAGAAGCAGAGGTGGGGTCCCAGAAAGGGTTGCCACTGGGTGAATCCAGGGTCAGGGTTCTCTAGCGGTGCCCGTGATCTGGGTCCTGGGGTGGGCAGTAGTGGTTGCAGTTCCATTCTTGGCCAATGTCCTAATGTGTTAACCAGTGATAGTGTGTTGAGCTTTATTTTTTTCCTGTTAATGTGATGTTGTGATGTTTCCTCCAGTTAGGTCTCCAGAGCCCCGGTCCCTATCTTCCTGTCTAGGTCAAACTGCTCACTGCCAAGGACACCAGACACAAGCCTGTCATTTTTTGAGGCACAACCAGCCAGAGGGGTGTGGAGATGAAGGGAGCATCTGAGTGGGCCTGACTTTGAGAGCGGCTGGGGAGCCTGCTTAGGAAGAGGCCTCTCCTTGGCCCCTCTGGCTCAGGGTGGGTAAGGAGTGGGCTGCGTTTGCATCTGATTTCTCTGAAAGGTAGACACGAGGGAATGTTCTGTGTGTGCACCTGGTTCAGGGTCTAGTGTGGGAGTAAGACAGGAGCAGGTTGGAGGGCTGGGGTCCAGGGTTGCTGGTGTGAATTGGGGGATGTGTCTGCTCCAGCGCCTGGGTGGCTGCCCCGTGGCTCGGAGACGCCCTCCTACTCAGCCCCCAGTTCTAATGGGCCCCTGACTGTGTGGGACTGTGACTGTCTGTGCCTCACTCAGGCTGCTCAACAGCTCCACACACACACTCCACTGGCCCGCTGGCTCCTAGGCATTGAATTTCAAGTGTGAGTCTTCATAAATGTTTTCACTGTGAATTGTACAGAATGAAATTATTTTCATTGACAAGGAGGAACCCATCCTTACATAGGAGGCACCTTGTCTGGGAATGCGGAGCTGGGATGGGAATGTGGAGCTGGGCTCAAGGCTGGGAAGATCTGGTTGTGCTGCCAGGCTGGGATTTGCAACAGGAGGCCAGTGAAGGCTTCCTGAGGTCAAGTCAAGTTTCCTTGAGGACAAACATACATTCTGATCCCTGGGAACCTTGTCTTTCTGGCAGAAATAGAAACTGAATTAATCTTTCACCTGGCTCCTGGTCTTGACATTTACCTTGCCGTGACCCCTGGCACTTCTGAGCCACAGCTGAGACATGGAAGTTCACCCTCTCTGAGCTGGGAGGGGCTGACTCATCCTGTGGAGCCTCAATATGTGGGATCCCCAGGCATTGTTATTCTCAGGGCTATTGTTTGGTACCCAGAGATCTTGGGCCTGCTAGGCAGACAGCCAGGCAGGAGGCCTCTCACCAAGGACAAAAGTCCTGGCGTTAGGAATATACTGGGAAGTCAGTATCTGCTGAAAAGAGCAGGCAGATGTGGCCAGATTAGCAAGGTCCGGTAAAATACTTTACTTGAAATTATTAGCAGAAAGTTAGGTCAGAGTAGAAAATATGCTTTGGCTACTGGGAACAATGGAGCCCCTCAGGCATAGCCCGTGGTCACGTCACCCTATCCGTCTGCCAAGGATGTGCATTTCCTACCTACTTGCCCTACCTTTGATCTTGACTCTAGTAAGTTCGAGACTGCCCCTGGATGGCTGCCTGGTGAGGTATAGTCCCTCTGTGCTTCTGAGTGCTCCACATGGGCAGTGGGAATCTCTCTCCTGCGGCGCCTCCAATGCTGCTGCTCCTGGGGGTGACATCAACAAGAGGGGCTGTTCCTATGTCACCCAACAAGCTGTCTTGCCTGTCCGCTCGTTGTGGGGTCTCCATGGTAAGTCTTGGTTAGATACTCAGGACAGACCCTGCGATGGGTCCTGAGGACACAGGTGTACCCCTGATAGGTGTGCTGTGGCGGAAAATAGAAAACTGGAAAAAGGGACAGAAACTTTTGGATTGGTGCCGCTTGCATTTCAATTCGTTCCCAGGAGACTCCCGGGCTGCTGGTCCAGGGACACGCTTGAGAACCACTGCTTTGGAAAGTCTGTGTCCTCAGTACACACCCCTCTCAGCTTATAGGCTGTTCCTGCATCTCTGGTGCCTGTTTCATCGGGTCATCCCTGGAGGTGCCAGGAGGACTGACAAGGCTGCTCCCTAAGGAGCTGGCAGCCAGGTGCCGATGCCCAGGCAGGAGCAGGGCTGTGCTGGGCCTGCAGATGGGGCAGGAGGGCAACCTCACTGAGGCCAGGGCCAGCCTGGGGGAGAGGAAGGGGAGGGGCTGGGAGCCTGGGAGCAGGCTTTGTGAAGACGGTGATGGGCAGTGGGAAGCACGACCCCGGCTGGTGGCCAGCAGGGCCCAGAGCTGTGCGAGGTTCCTGGCCTGGAGCACAGCAGGGAGGGGAGGAGGCAGAGGTGGAGCTGGAGACCCAGGCGGACAGTGCAGGGAGAGCCTCCTCTACTGTCCTCTGGTCTGCGACCGTGAGGGAAGTGCCTTCCGGAAATGGAGGTCACAGAATGTGACTGTGTCTGGCATTCTGGGTGCAAGGGGTAGCTGACCTGGGGACTGCTCTGCTTTGCCTGTTTCCTCTGAGGGAAGCAATGTTGGCAAGTGGCGAGTGGCTGCACTGGTGGGGGTGGAGGTTCAGTGGGTTAGGATGTGCTCAGGGAGGAGGGGGATCAGGAGGCCAGGGTACTCATGAGCTTCCCTGGAGGAGCTGGCTCTGGGGACAGAAGGACTCCCACAGTCCAAAGGAGAGGTTTCAGGGGCCCCCAGTCTGCCCCAATGTGCAGACCCGGCATGGCATTGACTTTTTAAAATTTATATATATACATTTTTTACATGATTGATAATTTTTTAAAAGATTTATTTATTTATGCATACAAGAAGTGGGGTGCAGGCCAGAGTATGGGGTTGAGAAGATTCACCAGAGACAGAATGGGGAGCAGAACAGGCAGATGTACCGAATCCACGCCCTTGCACTTCGCCTGCACCCCAGCTCCTGCATGCATAAATAAATCTGAAAAAAAAAAAATCATCACAAAGGAAATCCCATTTGACCCAGTGATCCTGATCCTACTGCTGGGAATTTACTCAAAGGGCATGAAAACGCCAATGTGAAAACCTGGGTGAAGACATGGTGGCATCTGTGCCCAATGGAGTACTACTCGGCTATTAAAAAAGATGAAACAGTGCCTTTGGGGACAAAGCGGAGGCTCTAGCTGTGGTTGTGCTCAGTGTAATACGACAGAAAGTGAAAGACAGTCGCCAGATGGTGTCACTCAATTGCAGAATATAAATAACCAAAGAAAACAAACTGGCGAAGCACAACAAAAATAATTCTTGGAGTCTGGGAAAAACATGTTGGTTACCAGAGGGGACAGAGCTCTGGTGGGGGGTGAGTGAAGCCTGTGCACCTAACTCCCCAAATTAGGTAGGTATTGGAATAATTGACAAATCACTAAAATTTGAGGCAAAAAAGTCTATTGATTAAAAATAATCTGTTTCAGGGAGAGAGCTGTTTCCACTCATGTCCAGCAGTCAGCTCACCGCCAAACATTAGCTAGGAAACGTGAGCCAAACCTGAGCTGTAAGTACTTCTTAACTTCTGTGGTCCTAGCACACCGACTCCACAGGCGTAGATGTCACACGTAAAGCAAAAAGCAAAACCCAATTGGATTCACCCACCCGGGACTTCCGCCAGTCGGCCCGAGCAGGCTCTTGAGTGCATTTCGTGTTTCTTTTTTAGTCCCAAAATAGCTCTGAGCGTCCAGAAGACCAACATATTTGTCCTGGAGGTCCAGTGGGGACCCTTGATCACTTTCGGTCTCAGATTTCCCTCTGCAGGTGAAAAAAGGCTGAAAATAAACACACCTGAAGAGCTGAAGGGACGGGCAGGAGAGCATCTTAAGGCTTCTGTGCCCCCAAGTGGAGAAGAGGGAGCGTTAGACAAGGAAACCTTCAATAAGAACCTGGAGGTGGAGGGATGAGGGACTGGGGGGGTGGGGGAGTGAGGACTGAAGCTCTGTTGCCAAGGCAACCGTGGCATCTCTAACCAGCCATCCCCGTCAGCCTCGTCCTCTCCTTCACGCCCATCCAGGTACACCCTCTTGTTAGGGTTTGCCCTGACGCACGCCTGCCTCTTGTCTCCCTCTGCATCCGTCTGCTTCTCTCTCCCTCTCTTGCCGCCAGGGAGGGGAGGAGAGACCGTCGAAAAGGAATCAAGCAACCTACAACCCCAAATAATTATCAAAATTCCTAAGTGCGTGTTTCTGCTACCAGTAAAACGTCACCCCCAGCCCACCCCAGCCGACGACGGAGCCCCTGGCCCCTTTCCTGCCCAGAGGCTGCCTGGGCCTCCCGGAGATACTGAGTCTCCCCGAAAAACCAGTCCAAGGAGACTCTCAGGTGATGATAATGAACCCACTAGGCAGCCTGAGGGGGCACCCTCGTGGGCACACACCCTCCACCCCACGCCCCAAGACAGGGTGCGTGCATGTGCGAGCCCTGGGCCAAAGGCCAGGCATGACATGTGTGGGGCATGACATGTGGCCCCGCAAGCCTTTGGGAGACTGGGTGCCGGGCACCGGGGTGCGCCAGCTGGGACCGCGCAAGGGATTTGTCCACGCGGAGGCCAGTCACCATCCCACACACATGGCACCCGTGCCCGCCTGGGGAACTGAGGGAGGCCTTCAGGAGGAGCTGGCGGGGCCGTGGCTCACTCCAGCTGGCAGTCAGAACCCCGCGGCAGGCACCCTCCACCCGGCCGCGGGCGGGGAGGGTGGGGTTTTTGCACAGCTGTCCGTCCCGCCCGGCTCAGTGTGATACTCCAGGCGCAGAGGTAGAAGCCAGAGTCTTTAAGGAGGACCTTCTGAGAACTCAGGATGAACTTGCCGTCTTTGGGTCGTTTGCCCGTCAGGTGCTGGAGTGCTTCAGGATCAACATTGTTAACCCTGATGGAGGTGAAGAGCAGCTGGAGGGGCCCCCCTGCAGTCTGGCGGTACCAGTACAGGTTGGGGTCTGAGGGCCCCGTCACGGTGCACTCCAGGGACATGGGCCTGTCCACCAGCTGCACCCTGCTAGGCGGCCATTGACGGATGGTCTGGGCTCTGACACCTGTGGGAGGGTCAAGAGCTGTTCAGAGAGGAGGACCAGCCCGGCCTGCTCTCCATCCTGACAGGGGGCGGCTCAAGGCCTTGCATGGCGCGGACCTGGAGGATCATCATGGGGAGCAGACGGGAGGGTCAGGATGCAGGTGTCCCTGGGGAGGGGGGCCAAGAGAGCAAACTCCTTCCCAGGAGGTTGGGAGCACTCAGCAGCCCGCCACTAAGGGTAAAGTCCACATTCATCCCAGACAATTGGCAGAAGGTGCCAGAGAGTCGTGCAGACAGCTGAGGCTCTGGATTGGCAGGGCTGGGCGAGGGTGAGGACTTGAGGAGAGTCTCGCCACCTATCTAAGAGGAGAGCACCCACCTAAGATCGTGCCCAGCAGAAGGACCAGAGGACAGCAGAGCATGGTCCAGGCAGCCAGGCCTCCCGCTCCTGGCCTGACCGCGCCTCCAGATCTGGGCCAGACGTGGCCAGACCCCACCCTCAGAGGGACAGGCTGCTGCAGAAGAGACCTATCGCTTCCCTGAGCTGGGGAGGAAGTGAGGCTGGTCTTCTCAAGTGAGAGATGAATCATCCCCACCCTCCCTGGGAACCAGCTGTTCCCTGAGCTACTTATCTTTACTGAACCCTGCTCAGTCCTGCTATGGAAATGCGATTCCTGACTCACCAGTCACAGGCACCCCGGGTGGCTCTCTGGCTCCCCCTGGAGACCATGGAGAGGGACTGCAGCCAGCCCAGGCCCTGTGATCAGGGCAGGGTGATGAAGAGTCTAGTCTCTCCCATGCTGGAAACTGACCATAGCATTTGTCACCTGGGTCGCTGGAAAGGAGAGAAAAGCAGACCAAGGCTCAAAGATTTAAGTCTTCAGAGGATTCACTGCAAAGAAACTCAGTTCTGAGGGAAGGAAGCTGCCTGGCACTCATGCCAGATATCTCAGTCCCTTCATTCCTGGCAGTCAGGATTCCCGACCTGCACAGGCAGAGCCGGCCACTGAACTGACCAGCCCTGGCCTCTGTGTCCCACGCGCCTCTGATGCCAGACCTCCCTCTCGGTGCAGCATGAGGTGGATGCTAAATCATGCAGCCTTGAAACAGACAGACCTGGGTTCTTACCACAGCTCTACTCCTTGCTAATATAGGAAGCCCCAGAAAATGAGCCCCTTGATTTTCTCATTTGACACTTTAAAATCAGAATAAAAATTAAACCATGAATGACTGTAACACCAACAAATGGTTGCTAGATGCACTTTGCCTGGGGCATTGCTGAAATTCTCACATGTGTTGGCTGGCTTTTGGGCTCCAGGCAAAGCTTGTGCCTGTAATGAAGAGTGGAAGCTTTGCAGAGGCATGGGGTGGAGGGTGGGCCTGAGGGGATGGCAGAGACTTGGGAAGTATTGCCAAGCCATCAATCCCTGACAGCTAAGGAGGAGAATCTGCCAGGCAGCTGATATAACCTCATTCTCCTGAAAGGAGTCACCGGACCCCAAGATGCCTGGAATACAGCCAGCCTGTCCCTGGGAATCTCCCCTTATCTCTGCTTCTTCCATGGTCTGTCATCAGAAATGGCTCATTTTCTTCTTTTTTTTTTTTTAAAGATGTATTTATTTATGCATACAAGAACTGGGGCACAGGCCAGAGGTGTGGGAAGTGACAGGATTTAGCAGAGACAGAGTGGAGAACAGAACAGACAGATTGACTGAAATACACTGCTAAGGGGAGCAGTGGGAGAGTCAGGAGAGGTCTGCTGCACCATGTGGGTCACCTCCCTGGCTGGGGATGGAACTCGTGCTGCAGTGGCTGCAGATTGCCCCATATTGTTGCATCTTAACCCCTTTCGCCACAAGGGAGGCCCCCATCATTGATAATTTTTAAACAATGTTTGCTTTTTTTTTTCCCTCAGGTGTAGTCACCATAGAATTTCCCCCATCCATGCACGATCACCACAGTCCCCTGTGCTCCTCCCTCCCTCCCTGCAGATGTCTTTAGTTTATACATGTTTTGTGGTTTTGTCTGTTTTGTGTTGGTGTTATATTTTTTCCCTGATGTCTCATTTGGTTCCCCTATATTCATCCTATAAGTGAAACCATCCAATATTTTTCTTTTTCCTTCTGGCCTATTTCACTGAGCATAATTC